TTTTATACCTTTGTGGTCTGAAAAGTTGGTTGGTAGAATTTCAATATTTTGGAGTTTACTGAGGCTCTTTTTGTGACCTAGTATGTGGTCTATTCTGGAGAATGTTCCATGTGCACTTGAGAAGAATGTGTATCCTGTTGCTTTTGGATGTAGAGTTCTATAGATGTCTATTAGGTCCATCTGTTTTATTGTGTTGTTCAGTGCCTCCATGTCCTTACTAATTTTCTGTCCAGTGGTTCTATCCTTTGGGATGAGTGGCATGTTGAACTCTCCTAAAATGAATGCATTGCCTTCTATTTCCCCCTTTAGTTCTGTTAGTATTTGTTTCACATATGCTGGGTCTCCTGTGTTGGGTGCATATATATTTATAATGGTTATATCCTCTTGTTGGACTGAGCCCTTTATCATTATGTAATGTCCTTCTTTATCTCTTGTTACTTTCTTTGTTTTGAAGTCTATTTTGTCTGATCCTAGTAGTGCAACCCCTGCTTTCTTCTCTCTGTTGTTTGCGTGAAATATGTTTTTCCATCCCTTGACTTTTAGTCTGTGCATGACTTTTGGTTTGAGGTGAGTTTCTTATAAGCAGCATATAGATGGTACTTTCTTTATTATCCATTCTATTACTCTGTGTCTTTTGATTGGTGCATTCAGTCCATTTACATTTAGGGTGACTTCTGTAAGATATGTACTTATTGCCATTGCAGGCTTTAGATTCGTGGTTACCAAAGGTTCAAGGTTAGTTTCTTTAGTATCTTACTGCCTATCTTAGCTCACTTATTGAGCTGTTATATACACTGTCTGTAGATTCTTTTCTTCTCTCCCTTCTTATTCCTCCTCCTCCATTCTTCATATGTTGGTTGTTTTATTCTGTGCTCTTTCGTGTTTCCTTTAAATGCTTTTAGTGGATAGTTGATTTTATTTTTTGTCTTTAGTTAGTATTTGGTTGGTCTGCTTTCTTTGCTGTGATTTTATTTTCTCTGGTGACATCTCTTTAGTCTTAGGAGTGCTCCCATCTAGAATAGTCTCTCTAGAATACCTGTAGAGGAGATTTGTGGGAGGCAAATTCCCTCAACTTTTGCTTGTCTGGGAATTGTTTAATCCCTCCTTCATATTTAAATGATATTCTTGCTGGATACAGTATTCTTGGTTCAAGGCCCCTTCTGTTTCATTGCATCAAATATATCATGACATTCTCTTCTGGCCTGTAAGGTTTCTGTTGAGAAGTCTGATGATAGCCTGATGGGTTTTCCTTTATAGGTGCCCTTTTTCTTCTCTCTAGCTGCCTTTATAACTCTGTCCTTGTCCTCGATCTTTGCCATTTTAATTATTATGTGTCTTGGTGTTGTCCTCCTTGTTTCCTTTCTCTTGGGAGTTCTGTGTATTTCCATGGTTTGATCGATTATTTCCTCCCCTAGTTTGGGGAAGTTTTCAGTAATTATTTCTTCAAAGACACTTTCTATCCCTTTTTCTCTCTCTTCTTCTTCTGGTACCCCTATAATGTGGATATTGTTCCTTTTGGATTGGTCACACAGTTCTCTTAATATTGTTTCATTCCTGGAGATCCTTTTATCTCTCTGTGTTTGCTTCTATGCATTCCTGCTCTCTGGTTTCTATTCCATCAATAGCCTCTTGCATCTTATCCATTCTGCTTATAAATCCTTCCAGAGTTTGTTTCACTTCTGTAATCTCCTTACAGACGTCTGTAATCTCCCTCCGGACTTCATCCCTTAGCTCTTGTATATTTCTCTGCATCTCTGTCAGCATGTTTATGATTTTCATTTTGAATTCTTTTTCAGGAAGACTGGTTAGGTCTGTCTCCTTCTCAGATGGTGACTCTGTGATCTTTGCTTCAAATTTTGCCTTTTCATGGCACTAGAGATAGTTTGCAGAGCTGGCACGAGTGACGGCTGGAAGAACGTCCCTTCTTGTTGGTTTGTGGCCTTCCTCTCCTGGGAGAACAGCGACCTCTCATGGCTTGTGCTGGGTAGCTGCGCGCAGTGGTCTTCTGATTCTTGCCCACCGCTATGGAGTTTATCTCAGCTGTTGCTGTGTGCGTGGCCTGCCTCGGGCTGCGGCTCCCATATGTTGGAGCCGCATTGGAGAGGAAATGGCCGGGAGGCTGTTTATGTCCATGAGGGGCCTCTGAGCTGCCCTGCTCTCTAGGGGTTTAGGGTGCTCGGAGTTCCCTGCTGCTGGGCTAAGTGTCCCAGGATGCTTCCGTCCGGCCGTGGGGTCCTTGTCCCTTTAAGACTTCCAAAGGGCACTTGCTTTTCTTTGTCCCCGGTTCGCCAGCTGCAGGGACCTGCTCATAGTTCTTACTGTCCTGTTTCCCTAGTATCCAGCACCCCATGCATGCACTGTGTCTGCGGTCCGGTGCGGATGGCTAGGGCTGGCTATTTAGCAGTCCTGGGCTCCCTCTCCTTCCCTGCTCTGACTCATCTCCTCCCGCTGGGAGCTGGGGTGTGGGGTGCTTGGGTCCTGCTAGGCCGTGGCTTGTATCTTACCCCCTTCACGAGGCACTGGGTTCTCGCAAGTGTGCATGTAGTCTGGCTGTTCTCCTGTGTCTTCTGGTCTCTCTTTTAGGAAGACTTGTCTTTGTTGTATTTTCAAAAATATCTGTGGTTTGGGGAGGAGATTTCCACTGTTCTACTCTCGCTGCCATCTTGGCTCCACCTCAACACATTAGTTTTTAAAGTCACCCTTCCTCAGACTTTGGGTTGTGCTGACTTTTTTTTTCTTTGCTTGAATTTGCTATAAAGCACATTTAGTTCCTCCTTTCTTCCATCCAGTCAGACCCTGGAGATGTCTGCCCATGGTTAAAGCAATACAACAAAAGGAAAAAAATTCATCTTATCTATCTTAATGATTTTTATAATTTATTGCATCATTAGTTGAATATATATAAAACAATGATTGAGTACAATGATTCCAAGGACCAAATTCACTGGATATGTCATGCAATGATCATCTTATGGGTTTTCGAAAATATCTTACATAATTTCCTCTTCTAAAAAAGGAGTTTTGTAAGAGGCGAGTAAAGACACCAATGACCACTTTTCTTTGAGGAGCAGGGAATATGCAGAGAATAATACCATGTAATTCACTAAATTAATAGGGCGGTACTAACGTGTACTGAAATAAAAATAAAATATCCTCCCCCAGATTCTTGGTTTTCTATGCCAACTTGAAATTGTGAACATGACTTTGACAAATATTCAGTCTGATCTGTTGAATGAAACTGAGGGTCTGGTCCCAAGTTAAGTGAGGGCAGAGGAAAAGGCTTCATGGAGGGTCTTCTTTTCTCTTCTGTCCCAGAAAAACACTGGCAACACTTCCTGGACACTTACTGTCTCCTCCAAAGATGATGAGCAAGGCAGAATGGAGATGTCACCAACAGGTAGCTGCAAGGGTGGGAAGCAGACCTGGCCTCCAGGTGTGTTTTGATTCGCCCACACAATACTAAACACATTTTGTGATTTGTTGCCAACATTTAAAGCTGGATGATTTCACATAAAAATCCACACATCCAGCTGAACTTGAGAATGAGATGCCCTGCAATGTCGGGCACACTCCCACTGGGCACCAACAGGCTGGATCGGAGAAATGGCCACCCCCTTTGGAAGGTCCCACCACTTCTTCAGTCACCACCACTGTCAGTTCTCTCAGGCTCTCCCAGCCTGGCTCATTCTCACTATTTCTCTGGCTATACACCTCCATTTTGAGAAGCAGTTGCTGTATTGAGAGCTGCCCTATGGAAAGGCCCATTTGGCAAGGAAGTGAGGGTGGCCACTGGCCAACAGCCAGCAAGGAACTGTGGCCCTGAGAGAAACTGAATCCTGCCAAAGCCATGAGAGTGACTTTGGAGGAGCATCCTCTGCCAGAGGAGCCTTGAGATGAGACCCCAACCACCGCGGACACCCTGATTCCAGCCCAATAAGAAACACAGAGCAAAAGTCCCTAGCTGAGCTGCACGCAGATTCCCTGCCTCTGACAGCGGTCTGCAGAACTCACTGTGAGTCAGGTCTTGCCTACCTCAGAACTTGCTTGTCTGCCACCTCCTTCTTGAACCTTACACCCAGTAACACCTAATACAAGCATAACAATGCCTTGCACCTCCACCTGACCCTATGTGCACACATCCCTCATTGCTCTCAGCGCTCTGCCTGGGTGTCTTCTCTTCAAGGGCTTGTTTCCCCACCACACTACAAGCTACTTTAAGGCAGGGGCCATCCCTTCCTCTGCTTTCTATTCTGAGCACCTGCATAGTGCTTGGCACTTGGGAGATCCTCCATGAAACCAGGAGCTAAAGATACAGACTGATGTGTCAGTTGGGTTTGTTATTGAAACATCACTGCTAACCTCAGCAAGAGCGAGGAAAAGGGTGGGGTCAGGTGGGGCAGATGCCAGGCTGAGGGGGAAGCACGGCTGGCAAGGAACAGGGCAGAGAAAGCAGACAGGAGCTTATGAATCTGGAAGCAGAGCAGTCATAAGATATATCAAATAAGCATATGCTTGTTTATATGAGGTTGTTGACATTTTGTTCTTCTGGTTTTCTAAGATGAGAAAGGATGAAACATACAAAAATTAGATTAACAAATATAAAACAAGTAGCATAGAGTTGGGCTTAGAGTAAACTATCAATGTAATGTTCACACCCTTGTTCTGCTGTTAATGTGGAGGTGGAAGAGCTAGCAGAGATCAGGGTGATGAGGGGAAAGGTAATACACGGGACCCATATGAATAAACATAGAGGCAGGAAATGGGCATGAAACTCTGTGGGGTGATGGAAATGTTCCAAAATTGGATTGTACTAATGGTTGCACCACTCTGTAAATTTACTAAAATCATTATTGTTCTCTCAAAAAGAGTAAATGCAGGACCAAAAATAGGGAGGGACAACTTACAATGTTGGTGAAAGCATTCTTGCTAGGTTCACTGGTGATGCCCCGTAAAAATGGAAAGAAAGTGAAGCCGGAGGGTGGGAAGCCCACTCAGGGGAACAACGGGACTCATCTCTCCCTCTCTTTAATGCCTCATGACAGTGGCAATGAGAGTCATTCAGAGGAGGTCATAACTTACAGGGATCATCCATGGACTCAGCCCAGGCATAATTTAGTGCCCTTCCTTACAACATTCTATGTCCTTCACGGGCTCATTAAAATCAATAACCTGCATCCTATTATGGGGAGCCAAACAGCCAAAAATATCCAGGGAGGCCAGGGGGCATAAGATGCTCACATACCTTCTCTTACTATCCAATTAGGTTCTGTAAGGTAGGTGGTGATGTCCCCTCTTTCACTCCTGATTTTAGTAACTTGAGTCTTCTCTTATTTTTTTCTTGGTGCACCTAGCTAAAGGTTTGTCAACTTAGTGCATCTTTCCAAAGAACCAACTTTTGACTTCATTGGTTTCTGCTCTTCTTTATTCCGTCCTTCTGTGAGTTCGATTTAGGTTTATTATGCTCTTCTCTTTCTAGCTTCTTAAGTTGGAAAGCTAGGTTACTGATTTGAGAAGTTTCTTCTCCAATGTAGGCATCTTCATCTATCATTTCCCTCTAAGCATGGCTTCAGCTGCACCCTGTAATGTGTTTTTGTCATATACCATCCCCCAGCCCCTTTCCTTGCACACTTGATCCCCCAGTTCTTATAAAGCACAAGGTATCAGCATTTCCTATATTTTTTTTGGAATTTATAAACATTGATATTTATTAGATCCTGTCTTTTTCTAGAATTAGAATTGTTTCTTGCCTTTCTTCATTTCTAGGATGACTTTGCTTTCTTTTACTTTTTCTTTATTTTTCTATGTTCATTTCCTCTTTCTTCCTCTTTCAATGCTTTTGATTATTTTACAAAAGGATGGAGGAAATAGCAGTGAAGTATATGCAGGAAATAGGAGGCAGTCACTGAAATGTGGAAACAGAGAGAGAGATAGAGGAAGTTAGCTATTTGTTAAGGATTAATGGTATCTTTAAGAAAATAATTATTAAAGCATAATGAAAAGCGGCTATCTATTTTGGTCTCTCCTGACAAAATGAGCAGAAAATTAGCAACCTCTCTACAAATTTTTTTGCATAATTTTTAAAAACAATATGAGACTAATTCCCCTAGGGAAGGTAACATCAAGGAGTGATTTAATCAGTTGTGTTTGGAGGTATCTAAAGAGCTGTATGAGGAAGATGTCAGTTATTTGTTTTCCATCTGAGATTGCCCAGGCAAATGGGTGAATAAGAATTCTGTAATCTATGGTTTATAAGAAAAAAAATGACTGAAAAATAAAACAGAAAGCTTTTTGCCTTGAATGATCTTGGGATTAACTCACTTGGTTAAGAAACCAAATAAAACAACCTCCTAAGATTTCCAACTCAAGGAAGCAATGATACATTGCCAACAGACAGTCCCTAGACTGTCAAGTCATTAGAAGGCTGACCAACATTTAGAAGCCTTAGCAGAAAGAAGGTTGCCAGGGACCTGGGCGGGATTCAGAGTTGAAAGAACTCCTATGCACCCAGAGTGAACATATAAGGGCTGGTGTTCTACAGACTGGGTCTGCCCATTGGTCTAGCACTGGCGGGAATAATGGTAGAGCTCTATGGAAGACAAGTAGAAGTCACCATAGAGTAAGATGGTCATTTGGAACACAGGAATGCAGCTTGCTGTTTTGAGGGTTTCTGGAATCCTTACATATAATGTAATGTCATAGCCTACCAGGTGAGATGGAAGCACACTCTAGGGTTTTGGAGAAACTGAGGAAGATGCCAATGAATCTGGGAGGAAATGGAGTAATTTCTTCTTAGTTTGAGAAATGTAAGTAAGATGCTCAGGGTTTGGGGGCCCTGTCCTGCCATGGAAGAGAAAGAGGGAAATGGGAGACATAGACCAAAGCCCTAAGGACAGACTTGAGTACTTCCTGAGTCACAGCAGAAAGTGTGTCAGAGGGAAGAAAACAAAGCAATCTATTTACAGCTGGGCCAGAGGGCCATGTCTAAGTATCAGAACATCACAAGGAAAACACAGTGAAAACCAAGATATAGTTGAGGATCCTAGAGCCAGAATAAATATGGGGGTGAATGCTCTGAATTACGTTTTATATTACACTTTTCACTTCATTCAGGAACACTTTCACAGACTCATTTCCTCATATTCATGAGAGGAAATTAATCTTACCTCTATTGTTACTTGAGTTTGGGAACTCTTGGTTAATGATGTCCTGTCCATTGTGGCATCTTTAACAGCATTCCTGGCCTTGACCCACAAGACACCAGTCACACCCCCACTAGAGTGTGACACCAAAAATGCCTACAGATATTGCCAAGTTGTCCCCAGTCCCTGGGGAGGAAGAGGTGGTAAAATTGCCACTGGGTGATAACCACTTATTAAATATACTACTTCAAATAGTAAGTATTTCTTTCAGACTAATTAGGATTATTTGATACCATCAAATTTGGTTTGGAAAAAGAAACAGAAAAAAGAAAACTGCAGAGAATTACAATCTGTTTTCAACATATACTAAAAAGTTTCAGGTAAACTTTTAAATTGTTCAGATTAGTTTATATATGGGTGGGTTAAAAAAATATTCAAAAGCAGTATTTCTGAATTTAAAAATCTGTTTTAAAATAGTGTTTCTTTTAAACTAGGTAACACTGTTGAATTAACAAAATAACAGAATACAAGTTTCCATTTTTTTCTCATGTCAATTAGTCTTAACTAGGTGTTAAAACTGTAACCTCATGAACACATGAATTTTCCCTTTACCCCATTTCAAAGATATTGCAATCTGATCAGTTAAATCTTATTAAATAGAATTACTATGTAATATAAGTATCTTGTAAAGTCAGCAAGCAGGGAAAATTAGTACTCATTCAGTGCATACATATAAAATAAATTCTAGGCAAAACTTTAAGTTCACACCCAATCTTATGTATCAGTAATAAAATCCATTCACAGAGATATTCATAGTTATTAAGGAAAAAAACTACCTATACTAATAAATGAAAACATTCATAGAGTGGGAGGGACTTCTTTCATACACTGATAAAGGAAGCCAGTGAGTCCCATGCCGCTGCTAATAAACAAGGTGCCCGCTCCCATGGAGGCAGTATGATTCGGTCTGTGCTGACACCCAACTGTCCCTTTAACACCAGACAAAACCCACCAGTCTGCCTCTCACCTGATTTATCTGCAGAATCCTCAAATTCCACAAGGAATAAGTATCCGTTATTCCAGACATGGAGGCAGGTGGTGGGGTCATAAGAGATGGTGAGCGGTTTCAAGCCAGGATCGTAGGTGCTGTCCCTCCACCGGATGTAGATGGGCGACTGGCGCTCACCCGTCGGGGCCAGTTCCACGCTCTCCCAGAGAGGGGGCACTAGGACAGAGCACACGGGGCTATCATCACGGTGCGATCAGCTGGGTTCCACACTGGGCAGTTCTGCCTGTGGAGCCTGTGGAGGCGGATGGAATGGAAGTTTTAGGAATTAGCCCCTTAAGAGGCTATGCGGGTTGACTAGGGCAGGGGACAAAGGCAGGTCAGGGAGCACCCTGCAGAGGAGCAGTCTGCTGCTGTCTTGTCAAACAAGCAGCTCAGCCCACCTTCTATTTCACCACAACCATGTGCCCCATCCTGTGACAAGAGTACAACACATGGAGATTAGCATCGCGTGGATGGGGCATTTCTTTCCCTTCCTTAGAATTTTCTGGGCCCCACCTGCCAAACTGGTTTTCAACAACGAGACAAATTAAAGAAGATTTAGATAAAGGAATTATCTTCAACCAAGGAGATGGGAAGAAGAATTTTTGGAAAGCCAGTGTTTGACTCAGCACTGCAAGCTTTTAAATGGTTGGCTAGTGGAAATAAAGGCTTGCATAGCATGCATCCTATAATAGGGCTTGCACTTCTGGAGATTTCTGGAATCCTTATACACAATGTACTACAGGCTTCCAGCTGAGATGGGGGCACCCTCTAGGATTTTGGAAAATGAAGATACTGCTGGGGAGGCAAGTTTTCCTCTACCCTTCAAGGTTCTTCTAGCTGGACTAAGAATCAAACTGACATGAGACAGATTAACAGGAGAAAATTGAATTTACTTACATATGCAGAGAATCCACAGACACGAGGTTCCAAAGACAGAGGAAATGAAATCTGTATGTCATCCTCAGCTGAGGAGGATGGGGCAGGGGTTCCGGGCTTCAAAAGGGAAGGAAGGCAGTTCACAGGCGCATGAAAGAAGGAGGGAGTGTTTGCTGAACAAACGTTTGCTGCGCTCCACAGAAGCGGTGCGGCAGAGAGGGATTTTAGCAAGTACACCTTGCCGACCTCCTCCCCATCTACCATCCTGATTCACACCATGGTTCCTGTGGTGAGAGCCCTCTTCCTGGAGCAGATCCTCCACCTAAATCCTTTCAGGCATTTAGGGGGAAGGTCAGAGCTTCTTCCTGACTCTTTGGGCCTCCACTGCTTTCTCTGGCCGTAATCCACAGGGCAAAGTGGCACATCTTGGGGGGCCTGCCCTCAGCCCCTACAATTCCCATCTATCTGGAGGAAAAGGAGTAATTTCACCCCAGTTTGACCTATACACGTAAGATGCTCAGGGTCTAGGGGCCCTGTATGCCACCCCAAAATACGCCTCCTTGGCATAATGATTATCTTAGGCTGATTATCTTTAAGAAACAGCAGACAATCTTACTACACTGATGGACAGGGACTTCCATGGAGCATCGGGGGGGGGGGGAGACTTGATAATATGGGTGAAGGTAGGAACCACAATGTTTTTATGGGAAACTTTCATAAGACTGTATATCAATGATGTAATTTAAAAAATTAAAAAAAACCAGTAGACACAGGAGGCATCTGCAAATGAGTAGAAGTTACCCTTTTGTCAGAGACAGTCACTCATGTAAGGGCAATCTCCGTGTGTAAGGGTCTCTCTCTCTCTGCACCAGAAGAGGAGGGGGACTCTAAACCTCTAGAAATTCTTATTAGTGGAGAACATAACAACCTCCCCTTGCTGCCTGCGCTTTTCCCGGTGACCTCCCGTAAGGGGCACACCTACCCCCAACATCTTTGGTCTTTAGCTGGAGAGGGTACTTAAGGTGGTGACTTGGGCCACGCAGGGAGCCCCTCAGCTTTCCTGAGTCTCTCCCATGGACACCGGAGGCATGCGGGTTGTTACTCTTGTTTTCCTCCTGTTCATCTGTCTTTTACTACGGGGTCCCTCAGCCAGGAACCGAGAAGGGGGAGGGAAAATGATTATCCCTCCCCCACACTGTCCCACTATGGAGGAGAAAGAGGAAAATGGGGGAACGTAGAGACCCCTGAGCATTTAAGGACAGACGCAAACTCTTAGTGACCGGCCGCAGGGAAGTGATGTTTGAGGGAAGGGCACCAGGGAGATGACTGCCCTACGGGGTACCACGTGGTCTTACCTCTCCCGCCATGAGTCCGCCTCTCCCAGAAGGAAACTCAGAGGAATGGCCAGCCATCCCGCACAACCCGGGTAGAGCGTTAGCAATGCTCGGTCTGTCACACGAACAGCCGCGACACATAGTAGACGTACTGGCACAGTCTGTCCCACCCGGGCCCTAGTGACATCACTGGTGCTGAGGTTTCTACCAAACAGTCAGGCACCAGGTCTTCGTGGCAAGTCTCTGATGAGCCTCAGCAGACGCCGGGTAACACAGAGAGAGTGGTGACACATCTACGCACAGCGGACAGACCCTATGAGCACGAGTGGCGGCTCCGGTCCTCTGCCCTTTAGAAGCACCACCGATGGGTAGAACCAAGACCAACAGGAAAACTACAAGAAACGAATCCACATAAATCATTAATATGACCCTCTGCCCCTCAGTGCACCACTACGAGTAAGTCTAGGGAGTTGAGAAAGTGACAAAGCAGCTGCTACCGGATCACCCCCCTGGCACCTCCCCACCCTGTGCAGGACAGGGTCACCTGAGCACCTGTTTCGTAAAAGGCAGAACCCTGCCTCCTTGCCTCTAGTTTACTGTTACAGAGATCCTTCTTTTACTTGGGTAGCTGCTGAAAGCTGGACATCCAAAATCTTAGCCTTGCTTGTTTGTTTGTTTGTTTTTGGCAAAGTCATGTAGACACAGAGCTCTCCTGGGAGCAGACCGGCGATTCGCGGTTCTGCCCCTGGAAGACAACTGGTAATGTGTGGGGACATTTTTCACTATTACAACCGCAGAAGGGTGCTACTGACATCTAGTGGGTACAGGCCAGGGATGCAGCTAAACATCAACAGAATTACCGGCCCCAAAACTCAATGCCAAGGTTGAGAAGCCATGGTTCCTCCCACTCAGAGTGTTTGTTCTTTTTCTCCTATTTCTTCCTATAACCCAGTACTGTCTTACGTCTGGAGAGATCGGAACACAAGGTTCTTATTTATTTTTTCTCAGTAGAAACGAACTCCTTCCTTAGGGAACTAGAATTTTTGATCTCAAAAAACTAAAATAGAAAACACTTTTGAACTGGTACAGTGTTGGGATAATCTGATTGGAATACAAACTAGGAGGCCCATGAATGGCCCTGCTTCCATTTCAGAGATGCCTGGCACAAAGCCACCGTGTAACCTCTTCCCCTGAGGTCCTCAGACTGTGGATCTGAAGAGAACTCACACCCTTCAAAAGCAGTTCATGAGGGTCTGCTGCGGATCTAGGGGATGGGAGATGATGAGCAGACCCCTAAGATGCTCTCTTCCAACTGAATCCTCCTCACTCATTCAGGAACCACCCAGAAGCACCTCTGTCACCCATGCAAGCACAGCCCAGGGAAATGCTCTTTTAGGACCATAACGCCCCTATCACTTTCTGCCCTGGGTTCACAAATTCAGCTTCTAGAAGGTTTCCTTTCCCCCACCTACATCCTCCTTTAGGGCCTGGACCATCCCCCCCCCTCTTGGTCACTGTACCCTTAACAAAGCCACCTTTTGCCAAGGGTTTGTTTAGCTAAAGATAAACTCACATTTTTGTTCTCCCTTCCTCTTCCTCCATTTTAAGAAAATACAGATTGAAATGATTTCTTCGTAGTTGCTCACACTTTCCTCAAAACGGAAGATGGTTAAGTGTTCTGATGAACGAGCTCTCATTTAAGGTTCTTCCTGTATGGGAAAAATGCAGTCATCAGAAAGAGTCATTGCACCGACCATGGTTTCAGTGAGCAAAGGGACACGTGTGGTCCTCATGCAGGTGCCGCGGACCCCTGGCTGATGAGCAGCACTACCCCTGCGGAAGCCAGATGGAGGATGTGCTCGCTGTGAGCTTTCATTTCCAGGACCAACTGCGGCTTTGGCTGTGCGCTTGTGCCGCCCTCTGCCTCCAGCCCGCGGGGTGCGTCATTCAGCCCTGCAATGTGGGCAGTGCGTTCTGGCCTTAGCCCCTCCGCCCTGGCCCCCCCTCCTCAGAAGTCAGTTCCCCTCACTGGGCTCAGGCTGGCTCCGATTATCTTTAGGTCTGGAGCCCAGCTATCACCTCTTTAGTGAAATTCTGACTACCCTCTTATTACATGACACCCTGTCCTTATTCTTTTTTTTTTATTTGAGAGGGCATCTCTCATATTAATTGATCAAATGGTTGTTAACAACAATAAAAGTCTGTATAGGGGACTCAATGCACAATCATTAATCAACCCCAAGCCTAATTCTCATCAGTGTCCAATCTTCTGAAGCATAACGAACAAGTTCTTACATGGTGAACAAGTTTTTACATAGTGAATAAGTTCTTACATGGTGAACAGTACAAGGGCAGTCATCACAGAAACTTTCGGTTTTGATCACGCATCATGAACTATAAACAATCAAGTCAGATATGAATATTCATTTGATTTTTATACTTCATTTATATGTGAATCACACATTTCTCCCTTATTTATTTATTTTTTTAAAATAAAATGCTGAAGTGGTAGGTAGATGCAAGATAAAGGTAGAAAACATAGTTTAGTGCTGTAAGAGGGCAAATGTAGATGATTAGGTGTGTGCCTATAGACTAAGTATTAATCCGAGCTAGACAAGGGCAGCAAAACATCCACGGATGCAGAAGATTTCTCTCAAAACAGGGGGGATGAGGTTCTAAGCCTCACCTCTGTTGATCCCCAATTTCTCACCTGATGGCCCCCCTGCGACTTTCCCTGTCTTAGGTTGCTCCTCCCTTGAGGAATCTTACCCATCTCTGGCTAACCAGCCATCTTCCGGGGCCATACAGGGAAATGTAAAGTTGGTAAGTGAGAGAGAAGCAATATTCTTTGAAAAGGTTAGCTTTTTACTTCTTTGTAGATTTATGCCCTATTCATGTGTCTGTTGGCCAATTGAATTTCTTCTTTGGAGAACTGTTCAGCTCCTCTGCCCATGTTTTAATTGGATTATTTGCTTTTTGTTTGTTGAGGTGCGTGAACTCTTTATATATTTTGGATTCAACCCTTCATCGGATCTGAGGAGGAACCGATAAGAGACACAAAAAGCAATTGAATCGGTTCAAGAATGTCAGCTTAGATCCTTGCAATTTGCTACTCTCTGTGTCTGTGAAAAGCACAGCCTCTCTCCCTCGACTTCCCTCTAAAAGCCCTGACTGCTTGTGCTTCGGGAGGACAGTGGTTTTAAGCCTTTTAAGGCACCAGCCTGCCACTCCCTCATTTGCTGGCCGATTAATAAACTATTCCTTTCCTTCCCTCAAAACCTTGTCATTTTGTTTTGTGATTCGACTTTGGTGACAGGGACCGGTTTTCTGTAACAGAGTGATCTGTCATTTCACCAGTATCCCACAGGTTTATCAAATGGTATTCTTTAGAGGAACATTATTTAAGCCTTTAAATGGTCCTTTCTTCTTACTTACCAGTTGTGTTAATGGAAACAACCCCAAATAAGAAGAATGGGAGTAATAAATGAAAACAGAGAGAGGAGAACAAAATTGACAAGTTAGGCTGATGGTGACAATAAGGCGGAGGAGGGGTCCTTCCTTAGAGTATACCAGAATGCTGTGGTCACCAAAGAGGAAAACAGTTTTAGAAGAGGAAAGGCTCAAGTCCAAATAAATCTCATTTGCACCAGCACTGTACAAAGATAAGTGCGAACTGTTCCTTTCAGTCTAACACTGACGTGTCCAGGTTGAGAACTCACAGTCCACTGTGCACCCCTAAGAAGAAGCTTCTACGCAGCAGTTGAGACTGAACCTGATGGTCAGTACCTCAACATTTAACGAGAAAACCACTACACATACAACTCGGAGGTTTGCCTCAGAATATGACATCCGACTCACTTATTTTTACACCTAAGTACTGATGCCAATTTATCAAGGTGTCAGTGCCAAATAATTGTCTCCAATGTGCTAGATCCAAAGTTGCTGTTTCGGGTATTGGGAAACTAGGAAGAAACGTATGGTCCATTGCCTAAAAGCACCTGCACAAGGGAAGTGGCACCGTTAGGTTAGACAGGGGTCCTCGGCCTCAGCACTACTGACATTTGGGGTTGGATAACTCTTTGTGGTAAGGGGCTGTCCTGTGTGCTGCAAGATGTTTAGCTGCCTCCCTCATCTCTGCCTATCAATCTATTCCATGCCATGGGACTCGCTATCCCTGCCCCCTACAGTTGTAATAAAATGCCCCCAGATTATTTCCAAATGTTCTCTGGGGGGCAAAATTGCCCTGATTGTGAACCACTGGGTTAACATACAATAGGCTTGCACAGAGGCAAAAATCTTTTATCCCCATATGTATCTTTACCTGATGATAGCATACAAGAGAGTAGAATCAGCTTGTTACCTCTCTAATTAATCTGAAGATATTGGGGTAATTATTATAAACCTCTTGAAATTGTTTATCACATAGATATACCAAGTACATTCCAATTGAACCATGAAGGATCACATTTCATTAAAAATGTACGACTTCTACAAAATTAGTGAGAGATGTACAAAATTATTAAGACCACACTTATGCTGATGAATGCCAGTGTCTTGTATTTGAATACTGCTCTTTCTTATCTTTGAAGTCATCTGTATCTGTTATCTCTTTCTCAGTGAAGCTACTAAGAACTATAATTAAACCATTGCCTTGTTTTATCCTTGTAGATCACTTTGCTCTCTCCAGGCAACTTTAAAAATAACTGCTTTGCCCCTGTATTCATATGTGTGTGTGTGTGTCTGTGTGTGCATTTAATCTGGAAAAAACATATTGAGCAGGTAGTTGCAGAGATAATACAGAGGGATCCTGTGTACATAAGATGGTCCTCAACCTGGGGGGATTTTGTCCCTTTGCTGCTCCCAAGGATGTTTGGAAATGACTGGAGGCCCTTTTGGTTTTCAGAGTTGGATGTGCTACTGGCATCCAGTGTGGAGAATAGGGATGCTGCTCTACGTGCCAGAGGAGAATAGATTGCCTCCCACATGCAAGAGTTCACCAGCCTGCAGGGTAGATAGTGCTGCGGTTGAGAAACTCTGCTCTAGACGCTTGACCAGTTTCCCTAGTGTTATCATGTGAAATTACCATGACACATACATCAAAATTAAGAAATTAACCTTGCTTCAATATCATTAAGCTATGGAATTTTTCAGATTTCCATTTGTCCAAACTAATACCCTTTGGTCCCGAGTTTACTCCTCTTTAGTCTGATCCCATGTGTGACAGTTTCTCCACCTTCCTTTGATTTTCATGACCTTGGTCTGCCTTTGTGTTTTTGAGCTTGATACTTTTGAAGAGAGTTTTAAATGTTTCTCACCTGGCTGTGATACTGACTCCATCCACATAGCACACAGGCAGCATGTGTAAATGTGGTGTGCTTTGGGGTTTGATCCGTCACTGCAAGTTTCATGGCATTTAGAGGGTAGGGATGACTGGTAATCGTAGTGGTTGCAAGCTCAAGACGGTCCCGTGTAACAAGGCATTTCCTCAGCAAAATGGCAACCACAGTGCCCTCCCTGCCACCCAGAGCTCTCAAGTCCTTTCGAGTAACTCATGTAGACTGAAATGCCTTGCTTCAAGTCTAGCAAAAGGCAGTTAGTCAACTTCAAAGAAAAGCTTGGTTTTTTAGAGTTTCAGTCCAGGACTTTTTGTATCTAACACTAAGTGTCTCTACTGAAAATCTTTGCTTTAATGTTTTCAGCAACAATCTGAATCTTTTGGGAAATGTTTATTTCTAACTAGACGAAATGTTTTCATTTTATTTGCTGAGATATTATAGTAAAGCATGAGTTGCAGCCCAATGGAAACACTGAAAAAAGAACTAGAATTCATAGTAAGAGATAGCGTAGTAGTTCCGTGGTGATGGGGCCAGGAAAGCATTTGGGGCCCCAGCTGTGTTGAGGGAGGTGTGCGCATCCCTCCTGCTGCTTTTCTTAAAGCCCTTCTCCCCCCCCCCCTGCCAGTGTGTACATTTATTTCCTTGTATCTTCTGTCTCTGACCCCTTAGAAAGCAAGATCTCTGGGAGGAGGGACTTTGCTTAGTTTGTAGCATATTCTCTGAGTCTCTGAAGGGAAATACCATAAAATCCATGCTTGAACAGTATGTAAAGAAGCTTGAGCTGGAAAGAACAACACAGGCCAAGTGGCCAAATGACCTCTTAGCCGTTTTCTGGCCTCCTCTCGTATGTGAGCGATAACGCTTTGTACTTGTCTAATTAGTGCATATGGCACGTGCTGCACATAATACTCCATCTTTTCCCTTGGACAGTGTGTGTTGAGATATGCCATTCTGTAACACACGTGTAGCTGTAGTTCAGTAGTTTGCAAGAGCAGGTCATTGTGTCCTTCAGGGGATATTTGGGAGCATCTGCAGACACTGCTGATTGTCACTGCTGGAGGTGGTCCTAATGCATGTGACCGAGAGAGGCCAGGTTCGATGCTCCAAGTCCCAGGTGCACCACAGAGCATCCACCCCCCACACAGAATTATCCGGCCCAG